TGAATCATCAAGCGATTTGAAGTAGAGAAAATCTCAACAACAATGTAGATTTCCTACGGCATAATATGTCAGTCTGGAAGATAGCTCCGTTATTCCAGCATTTTAATGGTGTGTAAAGACATGAAAATTAAATGTGGAAATTTTTCAGGGATATTTTTTTATATCTCCTATGCTTTTTGTCTGGTATGAATTCCTTTATTAAATTTGTTAAACAATACAAAATCAAAGACAACAGTCATCTATTTTATATTGCCTTTCAAATTATATGTAAGAAATGATGAACTGAACTGAAAAGGCTTTGAAAGACAAAAATGTTTCAACGATGATATATGCATGGAAGTTGGTCAAGATAAATGTGCAATGACCACCGTAAAGCGAGGGAAACTCATTTTTTTGTTAATAGCTGTCTTTTGATTAATTAAGTGAAAGCAAGAAATGACATACTCTTCGTATACCCAAGACCATTTTTATGACCCTGCATATTATTATAAAACAAATGCACTTCAAAAATAATTTTAAAATAAGAATTGGAATAGGTTCCGATAGACTCACTGAAGGGATTCCTGGAATCCCATGCCTTAAAGAAATACAAACAAAATTGTACTCACAAATACAGCTGACACCTTATGAAGTGTTTTATCTATGTAAAATAGGTGTGATCTTAGATTGTTTTATTTTAGTTTTTTGTTTTTTCCTCGAAAAATGCTCAGTGGAAAATGTCATGATGCGATTTCTGACCTTAGCTCTCTGGTTGGGACACGGAAGGAACGTATATATAACTGAAATCAAAGGAAACAAAATAATAATAATGATGATGATGATGATGATGATAATAGTAATAATGATGATGATATAATAATAAAAATAATGATGATGATAATAAAAATAATAATGATGATGATGATAATAATAATAATGATGTTGATAATAATAATAATAATAATAATAATGCAACACTTCGAGATGAGCGCAGTTTAGGAAAAGACAAGACATTAACAATGTTTCAATATGTTTCCACAGTATGTCTCATTTTCAAGTTATGTTTAAATATTCTGACAAGTATAAAAATATTGCAAAATTTATTTGTACAAACGTTGCTATTCTTGAGAAGAACGGTTTTACTGGTAATGGTCTTGACAAAGTGAACGAAACATTGCCAGTTGGAATGGAATTCCATCATAGAAGGACCTTCGGAATCGTACAATCAACTTGAATAATTCATACTCAGTTTCTGGAGAAATGTTATGCGACCGAGGTGTGGACGCTGACTTGACTAATTATTAACGAATTTCCTGACATTTCGATACAAACTACTATTTTTTTCCCATTTCGCTTAAAAATCCTTTATCCGAAATTCATAGGACCGAAAGTGCTTCGGTTTTCAGACATTTTCAGATTTTGAAATACAGACTATTTAATTTGTGTATAGCGTCTATAAAATGGTGCGGCTTGGGAATGGAAGTTATAAACATGATATCCCTTTACATTTCATAACACAACTTATGCATACAGCATGGAGGTAGGTTTATATAAATAACATATACCCTGAAGGTAGTTTTATATATAATTTAATACATTTTCTGTACATAGAGATACAGGTAATGACGCTAATCATAAAATGCTCACACGGATTTTTAAGTGGTGAAATTAACATTTCACGTCAAAATAATGTTTTGTACGTTCTGTACGTGTAAAAAAGCATGATAACTCCTTATATATATATATATATATATATATATATATATATATATATATATATAAATGCAACACTAAACACTACTTCTACATCAGGTGTGAGGAACTGGAGGGGGAGGGTACATCATCGATGACATCACTGCAAGTGGAAGAAGGAAAAAAACTGTAAGCTATCAATCACTACCAACAATGTTGTGTCTTGAGTAAACTTTTACAATACATACAGGTATAGTATTTGTATAAGAACAAAGCAAAACACGGATTCTGATTAGAGTTGAACATAATGAAAACTGAAAAAGTCAGTATTTTATTTGTAGCTCTGCAACGCAATTGTAATGATGTGGGGTCTGGCACACAAAACAGTTAACTCAACAGAGTCAGTCATGATAGTAATATTCAATACTCAGCTAGACAAGTCACTTCTATAGTATTATCTTCTTTTTCTTTCTTGATAATTATCCAGGACGGCTTATCATGAATAGAGTGATCCATTCATGATAGTAAGGAGGGTAAAGGGTTCTTACCAGGACTGCTTATCATGAATGGAGTGGTCCATTCATGATAGTATGGAGGGTAAAGGTTTCTTACCATAACAGCAATAATCATGATACCGGTCGCCATGTTGCCATCTGAAATTTTCCATTTCTGTCAACTCATGGGTGCTACTGAAAAATTTTCGGATTTGGGAATTTTGCATAAAGGATTTTCAACATGTACTGATTTCCTCATATATTGTCTACACCAAAAAATCTTTATTCCCCACATGAAACACCAACAATTTACTTTTTCAACCAGTTATTTCTGAAGACATTTATGTAAATGACAGCTTAAAAGTACTCGTGTGTCGGGAAATCTCTATACAAATGACTGCAGTCTATTCATCAGCTGGTACAATTCTTACTGTTCACAAAGTTTACATATACAATCCTCACGTCGGCTCATATGATAATGAACTTTTTGCTCAACTAAATTAGTCATAGGACATTCTCTGAAATAAAATTTGTTCGACCATTCCAAGATGAGATAACATTTTCAGTTTTATCTTGAAGATAATAAAGTTATTCATTTCCCGAAAATTAAAGGTTATAAAATGCCAATAGTGGAGCAGGAAAATGTAAATTTTGGGTAGAATTGTGCGAATTGTTAGATAAGCATGAAATTTGGCATGAGTGTTCCTGCTAGGTCCACTTATTCAGAAAAAAGTGTTAGCCACGAAAAAAATTCAACATGGCGGCCATTTTCAAGCTTTCTCTGTTTTATGGTTTAGCTCAAAAACTATAGTGAAAATTGTGATATAAACATGAAATTTGGCATGAGTGTTCCTTGTAGGCCACTCATTCAGGTGAAAGTGCTAGCCACGAAAAAAAAACAAAAAAAAAAAACAAACAATATGGGGGCCACTTTTTCAAGATGGCTGCCAAACGGGCCTCTGTTTTATGATTTTGATCTGAAATCATTAAATTAGTTGAATTTGATGAAATATTTTTGATTTATTGCCTTATCAATTCTAAATCTGATTGAAAGAACTCAATGATTGCATTGTTTCAATTGATTTGGCATGATATAGAGCCCATACCCTACGGCGGATAATTACATGAAATGATTTAAAGTTGACATTTACAATCCTGATGAAATGTCGAATTCAACGTCAAAATTACTTTCTGTGCTAATACCCAGCGCAGAAATTGTCCATATCTGGGAAAATATCTACAAGTCATATATATCCTTACAACTCTCTGCATTTGAATTTCAATAGGCTAACCTTCCAAGAAACGGTGACAAAAGTCCAGCCCGAAGTTCATTCGTTGTTGTTTACTAAATCTCACAAGGGCAACTGCAAAGCGGAGTACAGCCTGTTCCAAATTTTGAGCACTTGCATTGTCCTCCACCACATTTTATCTTACATCCGCACTTTGTCGACAGCTTTTAGAAATCGGTTCCAAGGAAGTCCAGGCAACTTTCTATTTGTTACCGTCTTTCAACCGTCCCCACTTGGAAGGACACGGAAGCTCTGGATCACGAACGTCGGAATGCCCCCTAGATATGTCCTGCTTGGAAGGCAACACGTTTGGCATGTTCCTTTAGCACTCCTGTTGGCGGGATTAATTCGTATGACCTCTGCTTCCTGACAAAGAGATCTAACTTTGTTTTATTTACTGTAGTAGCAGCACTTGACCGGTTGTACATCAGAACAACAAATCTCTCTAGAACTTGTAAATTAGACTCATTAATTTCAGGAGGACAGTGACTGTAGCCGAGGCATCGTTGCAAACATTCCATGTCTGCCATGCTTTTTTTCCCTTTGCCATTGAATCCAGATACCACATCAGAAAACGCATGGAAGAATAGTATCCCTTCGGTTTTTCCGATTCCAAAGAAGATGAAAGGTCGTGTATTGGGATCCATCGAGGGTGTTTCCCCTTGCCATAGGTGATCCACATTTTCTTCATGCCCATTGCAGTGAAAGAAGACACCAGGCTTAAGCCTATGGCTACAATGTCCGTGTCATTAGCTTAAATCATGAGAGACTTGTGTCCATCCTTAGCCGCATTCCAGGCATGCAAAAATATCCGGATATCTGCCTCTTCATGTGTGCAAGGAGCCAATTGGTCTATCTTAGTATCAGGATGGCTGGAACTTGGTAGAGCATTTTCCTCTCGTGTTACAATTACTTCATTCGTTGTGGTCATTTTATCCACTTCGTCAGCAAGGAAATTCAACAGCTTTGTTTTGTTGGTGCAGTCCCATAGAAAGCTCTTCCAACTAGTCGGTGTTTTGCTCTTTGCCGTTACTCTCCTCCTGATAGCTTTCCCGCGTTTTGATCGTGCTTCAGACTTCAGACGAGACTCGTGATAAACATCAAAAATGATATCTGTCCTCTTGTAATTGCTACTGTAGTATTGCACCTCAGGAAGAATATCCTGTCTGGCATATTCTTCAAACGTCTTCGGTGTCCTAGGCGTTACTGTATTGACTACAAATGCACCATCTACTATGAGTACGCCAGTTTCTGGCTTCGTGTCTGGAAGCTCCACCTTGGTTTGCAGGACGTCCACGAGATCAGACTTGGTAGCGACATGGAGTTTGCCTCACTTCCTGAGTGACGGAGGGAAAGATTGGTTCTCATGTTTGAAAAACTGGTAAATCACACCCTCTGCTTTGGCAAGAGATGAAAAGGCGAGAGAACAGTTGACAATCCTCCTTTAGTAGCTGGGTTTCTGTTTTCTCTGTTGGATCTTGTTTTGAAGAAGTCTTTATTATTCCTTTTGATTGGCTGATAGAAATGCTGACCGTCGGTCTTGAGTTTATCCATGAATGTTTGGAATTGCTCTTTCCCTTTCTCCAGCTGCTGTAGGATCAGCAATGTCCTTAGTGTCAAGCGACAGTAGATCAGTGGACTCCTCCGAAAATGGATTGCCCATTTCTTCTATCACACTTGTAAGCCGATGAACCTTTTCAAAGAATGCCTTCTGAGCAGTTGGCGACTGCTCATGGTGATGACTTCCTTTCTTCGCCTCTTTTCTTCCTGATACGGCATCATAGTCAACAACGAATTTGCTAATTTCTGGACCAGCCACCATCCCTCTCCGAAGAGCTGATGGATCCTCTGTCAGACTAACAGCTTCCCCATCCACTTTGATGACGGCATTGTTTTGTTCATGGGCTTGGTCGATTGCCATTGCGGAGAACTTCCTGTCAGTTTTATGAACCACGAAATTCCCATTGTGGAATTCTCTGGCGACCTCGTGGTGCTGCTTCTCTAATGATATCATATCACGCAGATGAATAGGGAGACATCTTGCATAACTGATATTGTTGTTGGCAAAGAGGTAGGGTATCAGTTCCGACAGTGATTCTCGATACAGATTGAAATTCCCTTCTCTAAATGCTCGCACCAGTGTTAAGATTGTCAATACCATGTTCAGGATAGAGAACCAAAATGCGAACTGTGGACTCTCCTTTTTTCGACTATCACACCATTCCACAAAGCTGGAGGCCTCCTCATCACCATCAGATGGTACAAACTGGTACGAACTGTAGACTTTCTTCAGGAGATGAAACAAACTGCATGCTGTGACCTGATGTGCTTGACGTGTTTTAGTGACATTGGTTGCCGACAGGAATAAATCTGCAGTTCCGCAAGAGGCTACATCAGCTTCAACAAGTGCAGTTGTCCATCCAATGTCTGCTAGCATCAAACCAATAGACTTCAGTGCTGTCATCTCAATGTGCAGCCCACCAAACCTGATCACAAACTTGTCTTCTCCATATTCCTCTGGCCAGTACCACTCTATTTCTTTTGCCATGGCATAGACTGGTTGATCAGCTGCCAGGACGGGAGTTTGCACTGGGTAATGCTACAGCTTCCCTTACTTTCTTCATGGCATGCTTTATTGTGGCAACGCTGTGATCTTGATCTCGGAGAAGAGGTAGCAAGGAAGTGATGCTGGTTTCTCATTCGCTAGTCCGTTTCTGGCTCGCATGATGAGGTGACCATGTTATATTGGATTCATCATCTAAATCGGTGGTACCTTGAACTTTTTCCAACCATTCGTATTCGACTCTTATGTTCCTTTGGAAGAGACTGTTGTCAGGCAGTGATACTTCATCTACTGAGGCTGGGGTTGGGTTCTTCTTGAAGTAGGCTGTCGCGATGTTTGTATAATGCTCTGGAAGCTCAGGAACCTTTCTTGTTTTACTGTCTTTTATTTCCGGTGAAACCCGCTGTTCTCCTCTGTTTTCCTTACTTGGGTGCTGGAACATGGAAATACTTGTACCATAGAATAACGTGCTAGCTGTGGTGGCCGTGGGATTGTGATCAATGTTCTCGACAGCGGCCGTAGTGAACATCCCTTTTCGCAGCACTGGTGGGCACACAACATCTTCTTTGACATACTGTTTTATCACAGTCTCACTAAGCGTGCCGGGTATCTCTAATATGCTTAGTCCATGCTCATGGAATTTGTCAATCAACTCCATTTTTTGTGTCTTGGTGTACACCTTCAACCCACCATAGACAACAAAAGGGGTCTCACGATCTTTAGAATGTATTTGGGTTGTCAATCCTTCTCTACGTTTTGAGTAGCAGTTGAACTGTAAAAGCTGAGCAATAGCTAAGTCTGACTCCGCTATTCCGGGCGTCAGATGTGATTTTATATCAACATCATGTTCAATGCTGCACACGAACTGAAGAAGTGCAGGTGGGATGGCTCCTCAAACAATTTCAATATGGCAGCCTTTTTTCAAGATGGCCGCTAAACGGGCCGCTGTTTCATGGTTTTATTCAAAAACCATATTACAAATTGTGATATAAACTTGAAATTTGACAGAAAAATCAAAGCTAATTAACGAGACATCATGATCAGAGACCACAAGAACAGAATGTGCTTTCTTATTGACATGACAGTCATTACAGACTGTAATGTATCTTTGAAAATCTTAAAAAATGCTATCAACATACACAAATCTTAAAGTGGAAATTTAAAAAATGTGGCACATGAGGATATCAATAATTCGAGTTGTAGTTGGAGCCCTTAGATTAATTGCAAAAGATTCCGCTAGACTCACAGCAACAACAACAATAAAAACAACAACAACAACAACAACAACAATAATAACAACAACAATAATAATAATAACACATCATGGAAACACTGTTAACAGATAAACCACCGGGAAACATGACAGAAGTTAACAACGTCATATACGAAACAGCTTTAGCAGCGACTCGGAAGCTTGGGGTCAAGACAATAAATAAAATTAACAGACACAGAGAACCAGCTTGGAAAACCAAACTGATTCGAGACATAAAACAAATCAGATGTGAGCTTTCTATATTAGATGAGCTCACCAGAAACCCTAATATTTCCACACGTAAATGCAAAAAGATCAAGCGGAAATATAACATTAAATCTCTAATTGCTATTCCATCAATCAAGGAAATGCTGAAGCAGAAACTTCAGCTAAAGGCGCAGAGAACAAGACGATACGAAAAACGTTGTAGGTTCTATCGCCAAAATAAAATATTCGAACAGATCTTAAGAAATTTTACAGGAAATTGGAAAACACCTATACATGTCGAAAGGCCACCATCGATTGATAATGTACAGACATTTTGAGAAAATATTTGGAGCAGCCCAAAGGAATATAACCCAAATGCAGAATGGATACGGCGTGAAGAAGAACGACTGCTGGATACACTTCTGCAAGAATGGGAAAATATACAGATGATGTTAGGCAAGCTCTAACGAAATCCCAAAAATGGAAATCCCCAGGAAATGACAAGTTGCCCAATTTCTGGCTGTATCATCTCACATCTATCCATGAAATTCTTGCAAAAACATTATCAACGCTTGTAAATAATCCTAATAAAATCCCGGAATGAAAACAACTGAAAGAAACGACCCGAAAAATTATAGACCGATAACATGTCTCTCCACAACGTATAAGTTGATCACGTCTGTACTGACGAACCGTACTTATTCCTTTTTCGAAACAAACAGCATTCTTCCCCTGGAACAGAAGGGATGCAGAAGAGGTTCATATGGCTGCAAAGATCAACTTCTGATAAATAAAATAATCCTGGAAAATTGCAGAAGACGACGCAGAAATCTTAGTGCAGCGTGGATTGATTATCGTAAAGCCTTTGATAGTGTTCCACATTGTTGAATCCTTAAGACTTTGGAAATGTACAAAGTCTCCCCTGTGGTATTAAATTTCCTTAATCACATCATGGGAATGTGGAACACCAAACTATAACTTAGTCACACCGGGGGCACTGCCATATCCAATCGTCTGAATATCCGACGTGGAATCTTTCACGGAGACTCTGTGTCACCCCTTCTGTTTTGTTTATCCTTAATCCCTCTTACACATGAACTGAACAACAGAAGCTATGGTTACAAAATAAATAAGAAAATATTCAATCACCTACTCTACATGGATGATCTCAAACTCTTTGCCAAAGACGACAATGAGTTGAAAGGCCTCCTCAATATTGTAAAATACTTCAATGACGACATAGGTATGGACTTCGGATTAGATAAATGTGCAAAAGTAACATTCAAGAAAGGTAGAATTATAGAAACACCCTTAATAGATTTAGATTTTGTCACAAAGATTAGGGAACTAGAGCATGATGAAGCTTATAAGTACCTAGGAAGTAGCGAAGGAGATAGCATACAACACCCCCAAATGAAGGAAAAAATAAGAAAAGAGTACTACAGGCGTGTACGTCTGGTACTAAATACTGAGCTAAACTCAAAAAACAGAATATCAGCCATAAACACATTGGCTGTCCCTGTAGTGCAATACAGCTTTAATGTCCTTAATTGGACCATAGCTGAAATTAAGCGAATGGACGCCAAAACGAGAAAGAGTCTCACTTGCTATCGCATGCATCATCCCAAAGCTGATGTTGATCGTCTGTATGTGCCCAGATCCGAAGGAGGCAGAGGATTAGTTCAACTAGAACTGTCCTACAAAACTACAACAATTGGCCTCCCAAGATATTTGGAAACTACAGAAGACTGGATGATGGTTTGAGTCAAGGAACATGAAAGTAGTAAGCGTCTTTACTCCGTAATGAAAGAAGCCAACAAATTCAAAATGGAGTTTCAAATGGGCGTAGAGATGCAACTACAGCACAATAAACCGGCTGAAACTGCAAAATAAATAAAAAAGACAGCAAAGACGAATGTAACCGACCAGATACAGAAGCGATGGCAAGATAAACCGCTTCATGGCCAATATTCTGCCCGTACCAAACAAGCTGACGTAGAAAAACCCCGTACCCATCAGTGGCTACGTAGTGCAGGGTTGAAAGCGGAAACTGAAGGTTTTATCCTTGCTGCGCAGGACCAATGCTTGCTAACTAGGAATTATCAAGCACATATACTAAAATATTGTGTCAGCCCAAAATTCAGATTCTGTGATAAATATCAAGAAACGATTGATCATCTTGTATCAGGTTGCACGATGTTGGCACCCACTGAATATAAAACCCGACATGACAGAGTGGGCCAATATCTGCACTGGAAAATCTGCAACTTCTACGGGAAGAAAACTGAAAGAAACTGATATGAACACCACCCAGACCCGGTTACGGAGATAGGATCTGTTACAATTCTATAGGACTACACAATACACACTGACAGAACAATCAAGGCTAACCGCCCAGATATTGTTATTAAAGACCACAAACAAGAACGATGCCTCCTTATTGATATGGCAGTTCCTGCTGACTGCAATGTATCTTTGAAGATATTCAAAAAGTTGTCAAAATACAAGGACCTTGAAATAGAAATCTCAAAAATGTGGCATATGGGAACATCAACAATCCCTGTTGTGGTTGGAGCCCTAGGACTGGTTGGAAAAAGATTGCAGTAGACTAATTGAAGGGATTCCTGGAAGTCCATGCCTCAAGGAGATAAAAAATTGTTCTGACAAGTACAGCCCACACTTTACGAAGGGCTTTATCTATGTCATTTTTTTAAATTTTTTTTTGTCAGTGGAAAGTGTCATGACGCCATTTCTAACCTTAGGTCCCTGGGCGGAACCCGAAAAGAAATGTGTAAACGCCAGAAATCAAAGAAAATAATAATAATAATAATAATAATAATAATAATAATAATAATAATAATAATTGTGTTGACGCTAAATGCAGATTCTGAGACAAATATCCAGAAATAATTGACCATCTTGTGTCAGGTTGAATAATGCTAGCACTCAGTGAATATAAAACTCGGCATGACAGATTGGGCCAATATCTGCC